AAGGTGATAATATTTTTCCGCGCGTTTTCACATAAATGTCGAAACGGGGCGTAAATCGTCGCTGTATACCCAAGAAAAACGCCGGTAGTTAATTTCCCGGCAGATGCCGTTGGATTTCGGTATAGCGGCGTGGCTGTACGCCGCAATTAATATCCGTTTAGACGATAAAATGTGAACCATACACGCCGCGGTTAAGAATTCTCGCTTTCCTGTCTCCTAAGTAACCAAATGAAAAAGGCCGGCTCGTTTTTTTGCTTCGGTTTTCCTTTTCCTTCTTTCTTTTCTCGAGGCGGCGAAGAAACCACTCGAAAACCATACAAATAGTACACGATACGGATTTTCGATTTCGATTCGATTCTTTGGAAAATCGATTCTTTAGGTAAAAAAAATCAGATCGATTTTTCTTAACAATAAAAGCACGTTCACTTCTACATTTTTTGAATTTTGAAATTCTGATATCAGATTCGTAATTTGGATCCTAAATAATGTATACATGCCAGGATTCATGAAAATCTAATAATTTCTTGATATACATGTCGGCCATATTGGATCCGCCATTTTGAATTTTGCTATTCTGACATCAGATTCGTAATTTGGATCCTAAATAATGTATACATGCCAGGATTCATGAAAATCTAATAATTTCTTGATATACATGTCGGCCATATTGGATCCGCCATTTTGAATTTTGCTATTCCGATATCAGATACGAAGTTTGCAATTCTTATATTAAATTCGAAATTTGCCCCTCAAATAATTCATAAATAACAAGTTTCATGTAAATCTAATAATTTTTTAATATGCGTGTCGGCCATATTGGATCCGCCATTATGAATTTTGGGAATTCTTATATCAAATTCGAAATTTGCAGCACAAATAATTCATAAATAACAAGTTTCATGTAAATTTAATAATTTTTCAATATACATGTCGGCCATATTGGACCCTCCATTTTGAATTTTGAAATTCTGATATCAGATTCGTAATTTGGATCCTAAATAATTTATACATACTAGGATTCACGAAAATCTAACAATTTTTTAATATACGTGTCAGCCATACTGGATCCGCCATTTTGAATTTTGGAATTCTTATATCAGATTCGTAATGTGCTGCTCAAATAATGTATACATACCAGGATTCATGAAAACCTAATAATTTATTAATATACATGTCGGCCATATTGGATCCGCCATTCTGAATTTTGCTATTCTGATATCAGATTCGTAATTTGGATCCTAAATAATGTATATATGCCGCCAGAATTCATGAAAATCTAATAATAATTTTTTGATATACATGTCGGCCATATTGGATCCGCCATTTTGAATTTTGGAATTCTTATATCAGATTCGTAATTTGGATCCTAAATAATTTATACATACCAGGATTCATGAAAACCTAATAATTTTTTAATATACGTGTCAGCCATACTGGATTCGCCATTTTGAATTTTCCTATTCCAATATCAGATTCGAAGTTTGCAATTCTTATATCAAATTCGAAATTTGCCGCTCAAATAATTCATAAATAACAAGTTTCATGTAAATCTAATAATTGTTTAATATACATGTCGGCCATATTGGATCCGCTACTACTCCAAAAAGGTACAGGAATAACGATGGAGATATTAGGTTGTCCCAAAAGTTTCTTTATTAATAAGTAACGCATGCACGATATTTGATATTTTATGTTACGTAAATGAATTGCGCACGATTCATTTTGCTGCATCACAACATGAATTTTGCTGCATTACGACATGACTACCTATGAAATTATATTGTCTATAGGAACACGACCACATCAAATAATTGAGTGCAACTCGCGAAAGAAACTTTCGAAACAACCTAATATCTCCATCGCTATTCCTATAAAACAACGTAAGAGTCTGCCTTTGGTGTAAGTGGACGAAAAGTAGAAAAACAAAAGATTGATTCTTTACAATAATCGATGCCGAGCGAAAGAATCGTACGGGAGTCTGTTTGCAGAAATACAAATAAAAAAGTAAACGAAAAAGCCGATTCTTTCTAAACCGATTCTCGCAGAATAGAGAGGAATCGATTCTTGGTTCGATTTTGAATCGGAATGAGAGAATCGATTC